CCACTTCTGCTACTCATTTCAAAGTTTCTGAGGCTTATTGATGATCTTCTAGCAGCCTTCATTCTCCCATCCATCCATTCACTCAACAAACTTTGATCATTGGGGAGGGTATTAGGAGTATAGCTTTTCTAGCCTTCTGAAGCAAATGCAGCAATACAAATAGACAAGCATAATAAAAAGGGGCAATTATCTATACTAGAAATATGAGTATTTGCTGGATAAACCACTTTTAAAATGTATTCTAAAAGAAAAATGCCTTAGAGGCACAAAGGTCTGTCTTCAAGGGAAACATAATTTAAATAGTACGCTTACACTAATAAAAACAGAATTATGTCAGCGAATAGAGTGTAATGTTGATTTAGTCATTTGGTTATAAAATGAGTTTTTTCCCCTTTATTTGCCAACTAATTTCAAAGAAAACTGTAATTTTAAAATGCAAAAAACCAGTTGATAATCATAGGCTGATATTTTCAGTTGTAATGAATTCCTGTGACAGCATGAACATACACCCACTAACACGTCTGTAATAGAAACCAATTCAGGAGACCCTAGATGGCCACAGATTTCCCAGGGCCTCACAGCAAGACAGTGGTGGTCTCGGGGATTGATACTTTTCATCTTCCTTGAAGATAGACATCCTCCAGTTGTCACCCCGTAGGAAATCAGGAAGTATGCTAAACTATCCAGTGGACTTGGAATTACACAGCATTGTGCCAGTGGAAATATCCTATCCAATATTATGGTTTATTTTGAAGGGGGGTGGAAAAAAATTAAAAAAAAAAAAAACATGTTGGAAAGAAGCTGCACTCAACATGGCCAAACAGCTGGCTGGTTTTATATCCCAGAAACAGCTTGGGACTAACTATACTCACAGGATCTCTTGGCAGAGTAGCTTGATGAAAATACCAAAGCTGTGAGAAGTGTTCTTTTGCTGAATCCTTCATGTAGCTATCATATGGTTTATTAACCTAAATTAGAATACATGCACCTTTTTTTAAAGAAAGTCTTTGTATGTCTAAGTGAGGAACTTACTGATTCCTTATACAACACAAATGTGCTTCGCCACAGCGTTAATACCAAATAAACCTTAATAATTTTCAGAAACTGTAATCCTAGACATGTAGTGGTTTCCTCCTTTCTTTCAAATAGCATTTTGGGGGGCAGTCAAGGGAAAACCTGATAGACATTTAAGCATGAATTCAAAGGCACTGGTGACTTTTTTGAATGCCAAAATTAACCTCCAAGGGAAATTTGTTGTAATGACTTCATGCATCTATTTATTCAGTCTCTTAACATTTAACTGATACCTCCGTAAGCAATAAACACAACTTAATTTTAAGTATATTTCTGGCTCCTCTGCTAGATGCCATAATTGTGGAATACAGAAGATTTATTTTGCTCTTTTAGAATTTCTTACATTAGAGGGTATTCAGTATTTTGAAATTCAGTATTGTGGAAAACCTTGCATACTATCACCCCCAAAATGTTTTGATTAAATGAATTTATTCTTTACTAAGTATCCAAGGTAGAGTCAATTAGCTAGGACATTTCATATTTTTATTATGAGGCATTTTGAGTTTATTCTTTGTGACATCGGAATTAGTTTCTCATCTCAGAGTTTGCTGTATTTCTCTAGTGACTCAAGTAGTTATTGGCAGTCAGTTTGTAAAAAGCTCCCTGGGATTATCTAAATGCAGGATGTTAGGAATGGAAATACATATCATTGCCTCTCCTGTCAAAAAATGTAATTAACACACATGATATATCATCTCGCAAAAGTGTATGAAAATTTCAGTGGGTGACCCTAAGTCATATCTCCCCAGTGTACGCACTAACTGCCCTGTCCCTGAACATCTCCCGCCCCAGCACAGGACTCTCTCTTCTTGTATTCTTGTCTCTTTAGCCCCGTGTGCCTGTGTATGTGTGTGTGTGTGTGTGTGTGTGTGTGTGTGTGTGTGTTTTCAGTTGAAAACCTACCACTCAATTTTAATTTCTTTAACAATTTTGATTTGATTCAATTTATTGCATAGGTAATATTCCATTTACATAGTGCAGAAAAAGTGAAAATATATACTTCTTCCAACCTTATTCTTTTTATGATTAAATGTAATTCATTATATGTAATTCATAATGTATAATTTATTTAACCAGTGTCACACTGATGGACATTAGGTTGTTTTCTAGTCTTTTGTTATGACCAAAGAAATGCTGAAAGAATAATAATTGTCTTTGTCAGTTCAGGCTGCCATAGCAAAATTCCATAGATTGGGTGGCTTATAAGCAACAGAAATTTATTTATCACTGTTTTAGAGGCTAGAAGTTTGAGATCAGGATGACAGCATGGATGAGGACTCTCTTCCTGGCTTGCAGACTGCTGACTTCTCGTTGTATCCTTATACAGCGGAAAGACAGCTAGCTGGCTCTCTGGCCTCTGCTTATTAGGGCACTAATCCCATTCTTGAGGGCTGCATCCTCATGACCTAATTACCTCCAAAGGGCTCACCTCCAAATATCATCACACTGGGATTAGGGTTCCAACATATGAATTTAGGGGAGATACAAGCATTCAGTCTATTGGATATATTCAGTCCATATGTAATATACTAATAATATCTATATTATTTTCTATGTGTAGTATAATTCTCAGAAGTGGAATTGCTAGATCGAAAATCCTGTGCATTTCTAATTTTGATATTAATAGTTATTGCTACATTGACTTTCTTAGGGGTTTGTGCCATTTTACACTCATACCCATGAATGTAGGAGATATGCCTATACCCCTTAGTCTTGCCATTAGAGAATATTACCGATATTTGGAGGTTTTGTCAATCTGAAAAAATGGAAAGTTTATCAGTGTGTTTTTAATTAACATTTCTCCTATTTCGAGTGAGGTTCAGTATTTCATCAAAAGTTTAATAGCCATTTTTATTTTTTTCTTTGAATAGTTCACTCATTTATTTGTTCACTTTTGTGTTATGGTGTTGTCCTTTTCTTTGATGATTTACAGGAGTTCCTTAGGTATTAGGGACATACTTTCTTTATCTGTGATAGGAATTCCTTCTATCAGTTTGTCCTTCATTAGAATTCTCTGCTCTTGAGAAGTTCCTGAGAGAGCACATCAGCCTTGTGCACATTTGGAGGGCAGTTCCTTGGCAATTTCTCCATTTCTTTTTTTTTTTTTTTGCATAGCAAATGGTTTGATTCAATTATTCTGGTGTCAATTGTGCTAAATTATTTTTCTAAAACCTTCACCATTCTATCCAGGTTTAATGTATTTTCATATAGTGTATTTTTCCTGGAATATGTTACATTCTTGGTAAAATTTTGACTTCTTGGTCTATCAATAACTAAAAAAGAAACCAAAATACAACCTATTGAAATCTCTCACTGTGATTATAGATTTGTCTGATTTTACTTGTAATCTGTTGACTTTGCTCTCTTTATTTTAAGGCTATATAATTTGATGCTTTCACATACAGAATTATTTTAAGTTCCTGATAGATTACTGATTTTATCTGATATTTTATAACTTTTTTTAACCAAGTTTTTTGATTTCCTACTGTATAATAGATTCTTAAATAATTTAGGTCACAATACTTTTCATAAAAGGAATAATTAATTTAAGAATTTATGTGAAAGGTGAAAGGCGCAGATCCTGTTTCAGTCTTCTATGTGTGGCTATTCAGTTTTCCAGCACCATTTATTGAATAAGGATTCTTTTCCCCAGTGTATGTTTTTTGTCTGCTTTGTCAAAGATTAGTTGGCTATATGCACATCCGATAAAGGGCTGATAACTAGAATCTATTTAGAACTCAGGAAAATCAGCAAGAAGATATCAAACAACCCTATCAAAAAGTAGGCAAAGGACATAAACAGAAACTTTTCAAAAGAAGATAGACAAATGGCCAACAAACATATGAAAACATGCTCAACATCTCTAATCATCAGGGAAATGCAAATCAAAACCACAATAAGATAGCACTTTTATCCAGTGAGAGTGGCATTTATCAAAAAGTCCCAAAACGATAAATGTTAATGTGGATGCGGAGAGATGGGAACACTCATCCACTGCTGATGGGACTGCAAACTAGTACAACCTCTGTGGAAAATAATATGGAGATACCTCAAAGAGCTACAAGTAGAACTACCATTTGGTCCAGCAATCCCATTACTGGGCATCTACCCAAAAGAACAAAAGACATTCTATAAAAAAGACATCTGTACTCGAATGTTTATAGCAGCACAATTCACAATTGCAAAGATGTGGAAACAACCCAAGTGCCCATCAATACATTAGTGGATTCATATAATGTGGTGTATGTATACCATGGAGTTCTACTCAGCCATGAAAAACAATGATAATCTAGCACCTCTTGTATCATCCTGGATAGAGCTGGAACCCTTTCTACTAAGTGAAGTATCCCAAGAATGGAAAAACAAGCATCACATGTACCCGCCATCAAATTGGTATTAACTTATCGACACTTAAGTGTACATACAGTAGTAACATTCATCGGGTGTCAGGCAGGTGGAAGCAGGGAGGAGGGGATGGGTATATTCACACCTAATGGGTGTGGTGCGCACCATCTGGGGGATGGACACGCTTGAAGCTCTGACTTGGGTGGGGCAAAGGCAATATTCATAACCTAAACATTTGTACCCCTGTGATATGCTGAAATAAATAATTAAAAATAATAATAATAAAAAGAATTTATGGAAATCCTAGGAAGGTCAAGTTGATGCAATGCCTTGAACAGAGGAATACAGATAATTGTAGTATATAGAGAATGCCTCAGGTACAAGCAAATGCATTGCATGTAGACATATTAAAAGTACCATAACATACTTGAATTATTTCGGTAGAGTCCAGTGAGTAAACATGAACCTGAATCGACCTGAGAGAATGAGAACTTACCTTTATTTTTCCAAGAAAAAAGAAACAAAATCAGATATTAATTCTTGGTACACTTAATTGTTATATTATTTCCCACATTGTGTAGATTCACATCTCTTTAATCAATGGAAGACCAAGTGCTGATGATCCTTCTCCTGAACTTTTGGAATTTACCTCTGCTCGCTATATTCGCCTGAGATTTCAGAGGATCCGTACCTTGAATGCTGACTTGATGATGTTTGCTCATAAAGATCCAAGAGAAATTGACCCAATTGTCACAAGACGAGTAAGTTATGATGAAATATTGGAGCCTGTGAATGCTATCGCACCTATCTTTGTAATTGTCTGCTAAAGAATTTAAAAGGAAGTCTTTCAGTGATTTGCAGGAGTGGCTAATTCTCTATTACTATTTAATTTTAAACTTTTCAATTATTTTTATTAATAATAATTATTATTTAAAGTTCAATAGACTTTCCTTTGTTCAAACCCAAGCTCTCACACTTATTAGGTGTATAACACTTATCAAACTTTTTAACATTCTTAAATTTTAATTTCTTTTTTTATAAAGTGATGATTATGTCCAGTTCATAATCTTATTTTTGAGGACTATATTACTTTTTGTCAGTTTAGGTAATCTTCATTACTATTATAATTGGCTTTGAGGAGTTACTACTGGAAATTCAGGGGCTTTGAAACATTTTTGGCTGCAACCCACTTGAAGAAATACATTTTATATCATTACCCAGTACACACACACACACACACACACACACACACACACACACACACACAGAGCAATATGTAGTAGTATCAGCTGGTGATCTTGTGCAAATACAGATTCTGAATCAGTAGTTCTAGGGCAGGGCTGCGATTCTGCAATTCCACAAAATTTCCAGGTAATGTCGATGTTGCTGGTCTGTGGACCATTTTGTCTAATCAAATAATTTGGTTTTATGCTTCATAAATGAATCATAAGCCACAGTGTTAAAAAAAAAGCATTGCTGTAGGGGAAAACTGATTCTACATACTGTTTTATTTCTCCTTACAAATTAAATATCAAGGGAAAAAAGGTTAAAACATCTTTTCAACAGATCTTTGAACACGGGAGCTAACAAGTGCTCTCTTCCAGTGTTAAATTGGAATTTGTGGGATTATGATACACGTGATCAACCCAGATTGCTACAAGTGATAACTGCACTTCCTACTTACTTGCTACCACGTTTACTGGTTTATGGCACCTCCCAAATATGCTGCTATACAACCAAAACATTATTACCAAGGGAGTCAATTCAGCCATAAATCCATAAAGCAAATCTATGCTAGCAGAGTATCTGCTGGATGACTAAATGTATAGATAAGAAAGAGGATTATAGGGAGAAACTAATATTGTGGGGCAAAGCACTTTTTTCTAGAATGATCCTGCTAAGGTCAGACCACTGCTACCAACTGCCAAGTTGCTAAATTAGTAGGCTGAATATTCACAGTTCCTGAATAGTCTTCATATCTTTTCTCTCCTCTTACTTAATTTCCCCACATCTAACCTCTCCGTCCTCATAAAATAGCATTTAAAGTTTCAATTATTCCCATACGACATATGTCAGATGTTTTAGTGCCCTGTATTTTCCAAACCTGAAATAATGCTACCTGGACTTATATTTCAACATATTGCAAATTGTCTCATGCAGAACTAATCATTATTTTATAGCAATGCTTAGATTCTTCACTCGTTTAAAAAAACACTTTTAATTTTAATTTTGCCATAACTTAAAAATATACACCAAGGAAGACTGAATAATATTGAAGGGAAATTTAATCTTTCCTGACAGTATATCTATCAGAGAGGAAAAAAATCAATGAAAATAAATTAGTGTTCCTTTTATCATCTTTTACAGGAGGTAGAGTGGGGGCTGGTGTGCACATCTATTATTTATAACTTTATTGTACATGAGCCTCTAAAATGGTGCAGAAGTCAACATATAAATATGTTATTTTGAACGTACTCAAGTTCAATAAACGCTACATGTAAATTTAAATATATAAAAATAGGATATTGAATTTCAGCTCCTCTTCATGACTCAAAAGCAAAGCATTATACATTTATATTTAAAATAGATACCCCAATTTTAAAAGTACAT